TTAATTTTTTGTTTAGAAAAGGGGTCTTACTGTGTTGCCTAACTTCTAGGCTCAAGTGATCCTCCCATTTCGACTTTCCAAAGCTGTGGGATTACAGGCATGCACCCTCTCTTCTCAGCCTGTATAGTTTTATTCTGCTTTTTTCTCCTAAGTTTGTCCTTATATAGTTAATTACTCCTTTTAAAATGTGAGTATATAGTATTCTATAACTTGGATACTGTAATTCCCCCCCATTTCCCAGGTATAGGATGTTTTGATCTTATCTTCTATCCTTTTTTCCTTTCCTTACCTTACCTACCATCCTTCTTTTCTTTTTCTGCTTTTCTGAATAACAGTGCATTTGGCTTTCCTTGCACATAAGTATTTTGATGCATCTCTGAATCTTTTATTAGGATAGAGTCTTACAAATAGAATTACTGACTCAGGGTGTAAACATACTTAAGACAGTTCTTGGGAACTATAATCACCACATAGCCATTTAGGCTATGCTAGTTTATACTGCTAGTCAGGTTGGTCACTTAATCAATACTTTTTATATAGTAGTTTAATTAACTGTGAATATACTAATTTTTCTAGTCCTTGTTTTCCTTGAATTTATTCAACGGTTATCAAGTGTCTTACTGTGTTCCGGCACTGTTGTAAGCTCTGGCTATACAGAGTTCAGCTGGGAGCTCTGGGTTCGGGGATCCATGAACTCTCTGAAATTGCACACTTAATTTTATGTGAATGTGCATTTTGGCAGGAGTGCAAGGGAGATATCACTTTCATTGGATCCTCAAGGGATCTGAGGCCCAAGGAAATTTAAGAACTTTGTAAATTTGTTGGCACTTTCTATCCTTAAAACAACTCTGGGAAGGAGATAGATGTTATCTCTGTTTTACAGTTGAGGGAACTGAGTGGAGGTTAAATGACTTGCTTTTTTATTCATATGGCTAGTAGATACTAGAGCTCACTTTTCCGCTCATTTCTCTATTAATTTGTCTGTACTGATTTCATGAGACTTTGCCAATTGCTGCTGAGTTTGAGGGAGAGTCTTTCTCTTTTTCCTATTTAGTAATGTTATTATAAGAGGAAGTAAACAAAGTGTGGCATGATGTGTTCCTAAAGAATCATGAATAATCATAGTATCACATTTTTTCTCAATCTTTTCGCTGCCTATTTAATTATTAGTCTGGAGTTTTATTGGGAATTGATGATAGTCTATTGGTGTGTAGTTTCCAGAATCTACCTAACCTTGCTTTCTATTTGACAGATCATTGCTAACATTTGCCACTTTACAACTTTGGTTTTATTTTTTTCCCACAAAACGTATTTATGTTGGTAAAATCTCTATTGCATCTTCAGAATACCTCGGTGTTATGTTCTGTATGAGAAAGGTATATCCTGTTATAATTTTAAAGCAGTGATTTGTGGTAGCAAATTTTTTCAGATTGTTTGCTAGTTATGTAGAATACTGAACAATGATTCAGCATATTCAAACACATTGTATTAGTGTTCAGAGGGGCTCCCTCCTGAGAGAAGTGTTGTTTGGGTTGGGCAGTCAGACTCTTCAGTTATTTATGCTGTTTGTATTTGTCTACATCCCTGGAAGAGGAATTTCATTAAAACCAGAGCAGCATTCTTTTTACAGCCTGCCATCATGATAAGGTTTTCTTTTTACAGCAGCATTGCTTTTCCAGAGTTTATATCAATGAAAGATAATCTTCAAGGTCTCTTTGTCAATCCTGAGAAACTCTCCTGCAAAATTTCATTTGCTTAGATTTAGCATTTTCTCTTTCTGTACACACACGCGCACACACACATACACACACTAATTCATACACAGATGACTGTATAAAGGTGCACACCCTATTGCACATTATCTAGTAATTTTCTTTTTTTGATTTTTTTAAATTATATTGTTAACAATTGTTGACTTTTGTTTGTTTGTTTGTTTGTTTTGTTTAGTGCCTAGTCTATGCAGGGTATTGACACAGGTGTATCTGGGGATAAAAAGGATATAATTAGTTATGGACAAAACTTTCAAAATGTACTGGTGCTTTTGAGTTACTAAGGTGCTGGTTTGAGGCAGAAAATGGTACAGGCCTACAGTCCATAGGCAGGTATGGAAATAAAGCTAAAGGACTTCAGAGAAAGTGGCAGTCATTGGGGAGTGAGAGGTAAAGGGTGCGGGGAATCTGGAACTACTTGTGGAGGAAAGGGGGTGGGGATAGGAAAGATTTTAGGCTAGACATTTGAGGTAGAGTTAATAGCATGAGGAAGAAAGCTCAGAGGTCAATGGAGTACAAGGTTTGTGGGATGATAGATCAGTTGGGAAGCAGAGAGTTGAACTAAAGTTCAGACTGAGGAATCTTTTAAAAACTTTATACAGGTAAATGTCATATCATATATTTCAGAACACTGTACTTAAAACTACTGCATTGTTAATGACCACTATCAGTGAAAGTTTCTAACAGCAAGGAATTCAGTGGCTTTGCAGAGGTAGCTATGAGGTCTCCTGTAGAGGCTGGAGTTTGCTGCCCCTTTTGCCAGCATCTTCCTTTATTCGGCCAGTGCCTCTGTAACCGCAGTTGCCTGCTGCCTTTTGTTACCACATTCCATGGAGACCCCATTACAGAACTTCTTGCTGCCATTCTCCTACCCTCCCATGTTTCACTGCTCTGCTTCAGTTTTTACCAGTATCAAAACCCTAAATTCCTTGCTGCCTACAAGGGCCTGGGTAGAAAGAAAATCTGTGTGAGAGTTATTGTTGTAGGAAATCAAATTTACTTTGCTACTTTTTTTTTTAATAAGTAATTATTTTTTACTAAATCATAACTTTGAACATTGATGCATTTATGGGGTTCAGGGTACTGCTTCGATATATAATGTGAAATGTTTACACTGAACCAAGTAACACATCCATCACAATTATACTTATTTCTTAATAGTTTTGAAATATACTGTTGTATCATGCACATTAGGTGAGGGTCCCCCAAATACCCTCCCTTCTTCCATATCCCCTCTCCCCACCCCTCTCTCTCCTCTTCCCTTCTACTTTATGGACTATAGTTATGTTTTGCCATTCATATGATGGTGTAGGTGGTTATATATTGATTTCATAGTAGTATCGAGTACATTGGATACTTCCCTACTTTGAAAGTGAGAATATTTCTCCATCTTTCTTCCATGGGACTTCAGAGTTTGCTGTCATCTTTGAGGTTCTCATTTTGGGATACCTGCACTAGACTGATGTATAATAAGGGGACGCTGTTTTCTCTGTTGAGGGTTGGGGAGATGTATTGCTGGGTATCTTGAATTGTGACTTAGATTGCTCTTAATAGAGACATTAAATGGCTACCTATTGAAGATAGCCATTAAATTCATGGTAGAAGTATAGTTTATGTTTAAGAGGTTTGATCAATATTTAAGAAGTCTAGTAATGTTTGTTTGGAAAAAATACATTTCAGATTCTGGTTTTTTCTTTCTTTTTTTTAACACAGAGTCTCACTATGTTACCCTCTGTAGAGTGCCATGTTGTCACAACTCATAGCAACTTAAAACTATTGGGCTTAAGCAATTCTCTTGCCTCAGCCTCCTGAATAGCTGGGACTATAGGCACCCGCCACAACACCTGGCTATTTTTTGTTGCAGTTGGCATAGTTTAGCAGGTCCGGGCTGGGCTCGAAGCTGCCAGCCTCTGTGTATATCCCGGTGCCCTACTCACTGAGCACTGAGGCAACATTTCAGATTCTAAATAACAATATTGTAGGGCAAAGATAGTATAGAACTTAAAATCAAACCATTGCTTGCTTTCTTATTTTTAAGATTGATTGCTTTCATTCTCCTTTTTTTTTTTTTGAGACAGAGTCTTACTCAGCATCCTGGGTAGAGTGCTATAGCATCATAGCTCACAGCAACCTCAAACTCCTGGGCTCAAACTATCTTGCTTCAGTTTTCTATTTTTAGTAGAAATGAGGTCTCGCTCTTGGTCAGGCTGGTCTCGAACTCTTGAGCTCAATCAGTGTACCTGCCTTGGCCTCCCAGAGTACTAGTATTACATGTGTGAGCCATTGTGCCTGGCCTAAGATTGATTTCTTAAGTTTTTTCTAATTACTTTTGTAATACAGTAGAACCTGCATCATTGACCATGTACCTACATTCACCACCTCTGTAAATTGACCTAATTTTCATACAGTAGGCCTAGTTCCTTATGTTGACCACTTTTGTATGTTGACCAGTTTTGTTATAGTCCCTTGGGTAATATACTTCTACTGCATAACAAAATAATTTAATCCTTTTGACTAATATCTAGAGTGTAGACTTTTTGGATTTTGTTTTAGAAATATAAGCACATTTTTTGAAATACTAGGTTTATAAGTTTGGGGACCATCTGAACAGAATTATGTTATCATGGCTATTTTTGAAAGCAGCCAGGAATGGACATGACTCATTTTTAGGGAATTTTCAGGTAATTTATAAATAATACCTGCTGGTTAGAGGCTTGCCTCTTAATCTTCCTAATAATAAATAGTCACTGGGATTTTTTATAGAATCCGTGGCCTCTAGTGTGACTTGTATTTCTAAGAATGTTAAAATGAATGTTTATCTCAGAGATCTTACAGCCAGAAATTATCTCTATGTAGGATCATGTTCTTGAACTTTTGTATATTAAATGAAAACTTAATTGCTTGAAGTTTTTTATTTTTGTTTTTAAAATCAATTTAAAGTTACTTTGTAAATGCTCTTGTGTAATTTTCTTCATATAAATATAGGATGATTTCTTCATTTAAGGTAATCTTTGAAAATAATGATGATTAAAATTCTTTCAGCATAAAAAATCATAATGGTACACAAAAGAGAAAAGAATAATGTACAGGGCCTTTATATATTTATCACCCAGATTGAGTATTATGAATAGAAATTTTAACTTTGGGAATTGTTGGCTTTTTTCTTCTGTTATTTTTCTTGTAACTATTTTGCAAGCAAGCAGGCTAATATGCAATTTTTATTTCATGCAGATGATGTAATGCCAGCCACTTACTGTGAAATTGACTTAGATAAAGATAAGAGAGATGCATTTGTGTATGCCATCAAAAATCACTACTGGTACCAAATGTATATAGATGACTTACCAATATGGGGTAAGTATGTATGTTGTATTTGGGAAAATTTGCATAATGAGTAAAATTTATACAGTGACTCTTCTGGAGATTGTATACTGCATCATGAAATAAATTATTTTACTATTGTCCATATAATGATTTTAATACCAATTTTGTAGTGCCATATTATTTGAAGAATTTTTGAAATTGCTAAGCTTACTTCCCCCAAATAAAACTTTATACAGTATAATTTTTTAGAATCAAGGAAAAGTACTTGGAACAATATGACAAATCCTTCTGTTCCCATTTTTCTCCTATTTTAAATACAATTAAAGTGACTAGGATTTTGAAGTTTAATTCTGCCTTTTTTCTTATGTGGTACTATGGTAATTGGTATAGTTTTTAGATATGATAGTTTTTTGAATATCTTGTTTTGTTAGTTCCTATGTTATTTTCCAAAATTCTTAATATTTAAAAACTTTTTATGTTTTTTTCTCTTGTTTATCTGTATTAATGGAGAAGAGGTATGGCATAGTTTTTGCAAATTTATGCATAGTCCAAAAATGATTTGTGTTGGACTCGATTAAACTATTTAAAAAGGAACGCATAGCCAGCATATTTGATCACATTTTTCTTTTTCTTTTTTGTCTGTGGATATCTGCTCTTGTATGTAATTAATGTTTATTCTAATTCTTAAAATGTTAGCAGACTCCTGTGCTCATGAGCAGTAGACTATGAAAGTCTGAGCATATCAGATCAGAATTTAATATTATACTAAAATGAAATTTATAAGAAAGTTAATCTCAAAAGATAATTGTATACATCATTCCCATGTTGCATGTTAATTAAGTATATGTAGTAGCATTTCATTATAGATGATGGTAATTAACTATTACGGCAGCACAGACATTTCTGTGATCAGTTCTGAGGGTAGTAGGAAGATATATTCATTCAAGATTTCTGGATCTGTAGTTCAGGAAAATCCATTGGTCGGGGCTTCCTGTGTTTTTGTTGACAGAACAGATTCCTCCTCTATTCTTTTCTAGTGCTTATAGGTTCCTTGTCAGGATCTTTAGATTTTTGCAGTCATTGCTGTTAGCCTCTTTAGCTACTGTGGTTTTCTATGTTAAAATAAATCTTTTTTAGCCCTGGGATTTCAGGATCTGCTGTGTTTGGGGAGATACTTTTGGATGTCCTAGAATGTCAGAACCATGGGTAATCATTTTTTTTTTTTTTTACCACCCCCCCCACCATGGGTAATCCTTATCAGAATACTTGAGATAAAGGTTTCAGGGTCTCTTAAAAGCCTCTTGTAGAAGAGCTTCTTACTTAGTGTGATTATGTTGTCATTTCCAAAGTTTGGCTTTCAGAGTAGATAGGTAAATAAACCTTAATGAATTAATTATTCTTGGTTATGAGTTATATTTAAAAAGAAAAATATTAAAAATCAATTATTAGAAGGATTTTATTATTCCTCTGGCACCCCAACAAAACAAAACTATACTTCTTGAATTTATACCAATTAGCATCTCTTTGGTTAACAACCAAATAAGAAATGATCTTTTTTTTTTCTCCCTAATACTTTAATGGGATGCCTTGACCATAGGGAGAAAGCCCTAAGGACTGTAAGCCTCTTGGGAAGGATCTGGGCTTAGCTAGGTAGGGAATACTAGATAAGTGTTCAACAGTTTGAGGATTCAAGGGCTGGATTCTCAGTTCCCACCTGTTGCTTTTACATTGTGTGGATCTTTTCGTTCTAGTATCCCAAGTCATGATCAAAATGGTCATTTTAAATTATTACCTCATTACCATTTACCTTCAGTGTTCCTTTCATTTTGATGACTTTGCGGGGCAGGTCCAGTACTTAAGGTGTAAAAAAATTAGTTTAGTTTAGGTACCCATATGTACATGTGTGCATCTGTCTCATGAGGAACGGGTAGATCATAGGTTATAGGAGAAAGTACTGGACTGGGGCTCTGGAAACCTTGGTTTTAATTTTGGTGTGACCACTAGTAGCTGGGTAACCTTGACAGATGGTGATATAGCACTTGCCTGAAATTTTGAGATATTAGGAAGTATGTGCATACAAAGTGTTAATTGTTATAAGAAAATTACACTAATGACAAAACATGAACTTTGAGGATAAAACTGGTGATTATGCTGAGCTATTCATCACTTTTTCACTGTGGCATGATCATGGTGTGTGTTTGCTAAGTAGCTAATGAAGAGTCCAACTTATATTTTTGCCTTATTCTAACCATGAAAAATAATGGTAATATTGCTTTTTTAAAATAAAAAATACTTTCAATGAGCTTTTAGCTTCTAGGGTATTTTAAATATTAAACAATATTATCTTGTATAAAGTGTTTTTTCTTTTGTAGGTATTGTTGGTGAGGCAGATGAAAATGGAGAAGATTATTATCTTTGGACCTACAAAAAACTTGAAATAGGTTTTAATGGGAATCGAATTGTTGATGTTAATCTAACTAGTGAAGGAAAAGTGAAACTAGTTCCAAATACTAAAATACAGATGTCATATTCAGTAAGTATTAAAATACTTGTATGGAGGAAGTAGTATTTGTAACCTAAAATCAACAATTAAGTGTGTTGTTAATGAACATATAGCTTGAAATGGGACACAACAGATTATTAAAACTGTATTTTCTCAGTGTACCCAAGTAAGCTTCCTGAAAACAAGGAGATTTGCTTCAGATCTGTGTTATTAGATACCAGTTAAGCATTTGCAAGATCTACCATTTGCTGTAACAAAGTTTGCCATTATTATTGGGTAGAGCAACCCAGCCAGGTATTTTCATGGTTATGTTTTTAGATTGTAATACTTCATTCTGTTTTCTCTTTCCTTTTTACTATTGCAAGTAGAGTTGATGCTGTATTGTGAGTTGCTGGATATGGCATAGTTACCATGGCTTGTTTTGTCAGTTGGAGTAATATATACCTGCAGAGTGAGAGCTTATGAGACCCATTCCGCAACTGTCAAGCTAGTTCTGTTCTCATAGGCTTAAAAATAGTGGAAAGGAGAGAGAAATACAATTTAGTAGGCCTCTTTCTTTGTTAGTTGTTTTTAATCCTACTGGAGTGAGTCCTTTGCTAGTAGCCAATGTTGAAAGTTTTTTAAGCTTTGTGCATGTGTACCTAGTACAAATCATATTTGTATAACTAGAAAAGAAATTTGATAGTTGTAAGATAAGTAATACAACCTAAAAATAAAGATGTATGGATTGTTATTTTAATTGGTTTAAACACTTGCAATGTGAGCTTGTGTTTTATTGCCTTTATCAGGCCACAAAATGTAAGTTAGCAATAGGAAATAGTCCTTAAAAACTTGAAGTGATCCCTCTAAGGCAAGTTGAAAGTTTCGTTAATACACAGAGGAAGGTTGGCTTTATCATACTTGTTTCAATTTCTCATATTATCAGTGACATTCTACCAATTTCTCTAGTTAATTTTAAGTATGTAAATAGGTCTAAATTGTGCTCTGAGTTTTGTGATCAGATTATTTGTTTATTGGCCTTTATTTTTAAATGAAAAAATTTGTCTTCAGGTAAAATGGAAAAAGTCAGATGTAAAATTTGAAGATCGGTTTGACAAATATCTTGATCCGTCGTTTTTTCAACATAGGGTAAGTAAATAGTTTGTGCGTTTTAAGATACTGAGTATGTGCACTGAGTTTAACAAATACTGGGTATCTGCCATATGCAGGGCATCATGTCGAGGGCTGTGGATTTCAGGATTTAGCTAATGGTGATCTCACATGTGAACTTGAAGTCATGAGGGCAATGTGGAGTTTTAGAGGAGCAATCTAACACTCCCTTCTTCATGCCTTGAGTTTAAATCAATTAAGAGATATATAAGGAAGAAAACACAGGAGAAGCCAGAATATCTGATAAGCCTAATTTGGGAGAATGTGGCTTGTATTCATGGTCAAGTGGACTGGCTTCTTATTGCTGAAACTCAGAATTAGAAAGACATGACACACTCAGAAGGTATTGGACTATCTCATGCTTCACTACATGGGCACCTGCCCTTTGTAAAACCTATAGTGTGGAGAAAAAACAGAATGTGTGCATTCTCTGGAAAGGAAGGGCAGAATGAGAGAGTGACTGAGGCCAGGGGTTTTTGCAAGTAGAAGTCCTTCCATGTAGAAAGAAACATCAAGGATGGAAAGAAATGCCAACCATACCTCCTAATCCCCATAAAACAGAAACAAGCTGAATCTCAGTTCATAAGACAGTGGCATTGGTGCTAGTTTTGTACAGGTAGTTTAGTTCTGTATAGCAAATAACATACTTTGTTTTGGTGATTCCCTCCTTTAAGGATGGAGATAAAAAGACAGGCATAGGGGATATACATTCAGGAGTTTCTTCTCTAATTACTACCTTTTCTTTTGTTTGATCTAATCTTTTAGACTAAAATTCTGAAGTTTATTTGTCTCCTAGTTTTGAGATGGCCTATAAACCATTTTGTGGTTTCAGATTTTCATATTTCTGCTAGGTTCTCTGCATAGACTCTACCAGAACCTATCACTACTTCGAATCTTCCTCAGGGTCCTGGGATTTAAAAAATTAAGGAATTTAGGCTTGCCATCCATAGCACAGTGGTTATGGCACCAGCCACATAGCTGGATGTTGTGGCAGGCACCTGGAGTCCCAGCTACTTAGGAAGCTGAGGTAAGAGAATCGTCTAAGCCCAAGAGCTGGAGGTTGCTGTGAGCTGTGACACCATGGCACTCTGCCGAGGGTGACAAAAGTAAGACTCTGTTTCTTAAAAAAAAAAAAAAAAAAGAGGTGAGGTAGCTCAGACCAGGGTGGTAGCAGTGTAGGTGATGAGAGAATGTTAGATTGTGAATATATTTTGAAGTTAGAGCCAGCCAGACTTCCTGGTTGATAGGAAGATTAAGAAGGGTGGCACAGCAGGGATGGGGAACTTGCAGCTTCAAGGCCACAGGTGGTGGCTCTCCAGATCCCCAAGTGTGGCCCCTGAACTGAATATAAACTTCCCAGAAAAAAGTCTCTTTATTAAAAGTATTCGTTCTGTATAATTTAAATTAAGTCAGATCTCACACTCAGGGATCCAGAAGGCAACATACGGCCCGGAGGCCTCAGGTTCTCTACCCTGCTAGAGTTTTATGGAAATGGAGATACCATCCAAATGGAGACAGAAGTATAGACTTGTGAGGAGTTTGACTGCTAAAGGGAGCAAAGAAATGGTGCAGTATCCAGTAGGGTAGATGATGTTAAGAGGAGGTTTTGTTTTGTTTTGTTTTAAAGATGTGAGGAAAACATATGTTGATGAGGTTTGATGGAAAGTGAAAAACTCATGGTACAGGAGAAGGAGGGAGAATTACTGCAGCATTTCGCTTAAGTAGGCGGGAGAGGATGGGGTCTACTGTGTGAGTGTGGGGGTTGCTTCTAATGCAGTGACTAAAGGCAGAGGCAGGAGAGCTAGACTGAGTTCAGACTCTGGCTCTGCCAGTTACTTACTGTACTTGGGTAAATGACTCACTTCTTCAGTTTCTATTCCCTTAATAGTGAAACAGAGATTATAATACCTTGCAGTTGTTGGGAAGTTTCATTTTGATGAACTAGGTATAGCACCTGTCTGGCACACAGCAGGTGCTCAGTGGGATAGTCATTTATCTCCAGTTGTGTTCTAAAATTTATGACTGAGCATAGTGCTTCAAGATCAGCGACACTAGGGGGTGCTGGAGTGCAGCAGTTAGTAGGGTTAGTAAACTCCTTTGTAGCAGCATCAGGTTTCTTTGTTATTTTTGAGAAATATTTTTCTTGGTATAATAAAATTTCAAAATCACACAGAATTTCATAACTTTTAGAATAGATTTGTTATAAAATGTCAAGCTAGTAGTATATTGTAATAGGTATTGATTTAAAGTTTATATCTTAGATTAGAAAAGAACAGAGGGCATTGTTAGAAATTTTAGCATTTTAGGTCTATCTTATTACTAAATGGTGACAATATAAAACTTTTTCTTTAAAAACGTGATAAATTTGACTAGAAGAGAATATATGTTGTATATTTTTTCCCTCTGATTTTTGTTTTTAAATTTAAATATGCACCAGGGTAGCGCCTGTGGCACTGGCCCCATATGTTGGAGGTGGCGGGTTCAAACCCAGCCCCGGCCAAAATAAATAAATAAATAAATAAAAATAAATTTAAACACACACTAAATGTTAGTTCCATTGCCAGAAGGAATCAGAAGTGAATGTTATATGTGAAGCGGAAGATTCTGAGGTTACTTTTAGGGCAGTCTGAGTCTGAAATTCCAGAAAGACATTTAAGTAGAAATTACTGTAGTAGCAAAAGTCTAAAACATGAGTGAGAAAGAATGCTGGAGATTTGGGGTGCGGTGATGGGTGGAGGGTGTCATCATCGTCATCATCATTGGAATGCTAGTTAAGAGCTCTGAGAGCCTAAAGAAGTCACATCAGAGTACCGAGACTGGAGTGTCCAGAAAAGTTCACACAAGGTGGGAGGAGCCGGCAGTGAAGATGAAAGAGGAGAAGTGGTCAGTGAAGCAGGATGGTGTAGTGTCAGGAAAGATCATATGTGGCAGCGAGAGGAAGGGGAATGAGGCAGGTAATTGACCACTGAGTCTGTTTAGAAGGTCACTGCAGGCCTTTGAGAGAAATCTTGTGGGGCTAAAGTGAGATCATATTGTGTTTTTAAGGAAGTGAGGGAAGGAATGGTTCATGTAGTCTCGTTTGAAAAGTGTAGGCATTGAAAGGGAAGTGAAAGGATCAGAAGAATGAGAAGACAGAAGATGAAGCAAGCACTTTAAAAGATAATAATAGTGCTACTAATATATTTTATGTGGTGTTTATGATGTACCATATATTGTATATTTTACTTTTATTATCTTGTTTAAATCTTACGACAATCTCAGGGAAGAGATACCGTTAGAGACAAGGATCTTTGGAGATTGCTAATGTTGGTGAAAGGGGAAAGATGAGAGGTGCAAAATGAGAGGGGAAAAGACACCTCAAAGAGTGAATGAGATCTAGAGCCTACAGACAATATGGATTTTCAGAGGAGAAACAGCTTTTAGGAGATTGACAAGAGAAGTGCAAGGACAGGAGGATAAGTGTAGAAAGTTTGCGTCCTGCTAGATGGTAGAAAGGATCACCAGCTGAAGTGAAGATAGGAGAAAGGGTGGTGTTGAGGCCTCGAGACGAGAAATTGTGAAACTGTCTCTAGGCCATTTTGGGATTTAAAATATAAATAAAGGAATAACTGAGCAATGTCACAGACATAGTTCAGGTCATATGTACCGGGTTCTGAGATGCACTCAGAGATAAACAGTAGTACTTTGTGATAATGAACCAGAACCTGGACACAATGTTGTGACTAATGTGTGGGCAAAGTCAAAGCCAAGGGCGTCAAGAACATTGAGGAGCTAAGGGGTACCTTTCACTATTCTGTATACCAGGAGTGGTTAATTTTGAAAGGACTGAATAAAGATGGTGACAGGGTGGAAAGGCTAGGCTAACTGGAAACAAGTGAAGCAAATCATTCAGGACATTATGGCCTAAGTCTAGGGCTGCCAACTGTGATGGTTTGGGCTTGGTATTTTAAGGAGATTTTCAGGTTATTGTTCCATTAGGGGGAAGGGAACTAGCATATATATTTATTATTAAACCTTAAAAATCACTTACAACATAAGTATTATTTCCTCTGTTTTTCAAATGAGAAAACTGAGATCACGTAGCCAGAAATTAGGAGAGCCTGTGTTTAAAATCCAGGCCTTTTTGACTACAGGCCCATTTTTTTTCATGATATTTTATAGTGTATATCATTATAGCTAAATGGTACTTTACTCGTACAATAAGTTTGATTTTAAAAATTTGTGTAAACGACGTTTTCAGTGTATATAAAGAAAGCCAAACTGTTAACATAATGAATACTCATCCCAAAGGGTCTTAAGATCAGAATTTTATCTACAAGATTTTAAAACACTGTTTTTTTTTTTTGCATTAACATCTAGTTGATGTCATGAACCCCCTGAATTTTGTGACTGATATTTCATGTTGGTAACCTTTTATTTTCTGTTATTTTAGATACATTGGTTTTCAATTTTCAACTCTTTTATGATGGTGATCTTTTTGGTGGGCCTAGTTTCAATGATCTTAATGAGAACTTTACGGAAAGATTATGCTCGGTACAGTAAAGAAGAAGAAATGGATGACATGGTGAGCAAACATTTTACATGAAATGTATGAAAACAGTTTAACTCAGTGTTTTTTTTGAAAGTTGGAATGTAGATCACAGTTTCTGGCCAGGTGTGTTTTCAGAATTTTTAGGTGGGGTTTTTTGTTTGTTTGTTTGTTTGTTTATTTTAAGAGCCAGGATCTCATTTTGTCATCCTGGCTAGAGGACTGCAGTGATGTGCTTAGAGCTCTCTGTTACCTCAAACTCCTGGGCTCAAGTGATCCTCCCACCTTAGCCTCCTGAGTAGCTGGAACTAGTCATATGCCACCACACTCAGCTAATTAAAAAAAAAAAAGTCTTTGTAGAGATGAGATTTCACTATGTTGCCCAGCTTGGTCTTAAACTCTTTGCCTCAAGTGAACATTCTGCCTTGGCCTCCCAAAGTGCTAGGATTGTAAGTATGAGCCACTGTGCCCAGCCCAGCAGTATTTTTAGGTCTTAGAGAGGTGTAAAACTCCCAGTGTTATCTGGGACCCTGCCCTGTAATCAAATATATTAACTTTTTAAAATCAAAACACATGTATGTTCACCCTAAGTGGGGTAAACAAACCATGTACATAACCTCTTGTTATTTTAAAACAAGTTTTGTCACCAATTAAGGCTATGTCAAACTTAAGAAAGAAAATTGCAAGCCTAGGAGGTTATAGTCCTGTATTGGTAACTTTCAAATGCTGTTAAATATTACATAAAATTCAAGGAATGGGTGGAAGGATTATTATACATTTAGTAAAAATATTAAGGTTTGAAAGGTTTGTTTTCTAAATTTTTTACTAAATTATAGAACAAAAAGTACGTTCTCTACAATGTTATTGGCTATTTTATGTAAGTATCTTCTATTAATGAAATAGATTTGGTGAACAGAGTTTAATTTTTTAAAATTTCATTATTAATATAGTGCTCGCTTTGGCAGCACATATACTAAAATTGGAAGAGAAGATTAGCATGGCCCCTGCACAAGGATGACATGCAAATTCATGAAGCGTTCCATATTTTAAAAGACAAAAAAAATTTCATATTAATATAAAGATATAAATGTTTAAGTATTACATTGTCTTCATTTCTAAGGTAAAGTTTAAGTTGTAGTTGAGCACTTGCCCCAGAGGGCTTATTGGAACGATACAGAGAAGATTAGCATGGCCCCTACACAAGGATGGCATGCAAATTCGTGAAGTGTTCCACATTTTAAAAGACAAAAAAAATTTTCATATTAATATAAAGGTATAAATAAATGAAATTGTCTTCATTTCTAAGGTAAAGTTTAAGTTATAGTTGAGCACTTCACCCAGAGGGCTTATTGAACACCCAGGGTTTAAAATTTAAAATTTGAACTTTCTAAAGTATGTTGTGAAGTATCATAGGAATAGACAGAATATTTGGTGCTTCTCAGATGTATGTGACCAGGATTCTCACCTAAAACAGATTATCTTGAAGGACCTTCTTCCTTAAGAAACACTGTTTTAGAAACCGTTAAACTGTTACAGAAACAGTTTTAGGAACACTTGCTTATTCATGTTGAAAAGTAAAAATTGAATTAACAGTTTAAGGAACACTTGCTTATTCATGTTCAAAAGTAAAAATTGTGACATGAATGGTGGGGACAGTGCCTGAAAGTAATAGTAGGAGAGTCAGTGTACTGTTCTACAGATCGACCATTTCATTTTGTTCCCAAACCTTTTCTTTTTCCAATATTTGAAATTCTCTGAACACAACCAGGAGTTAACCTCCTGAACCTTAGCATCTTAACATTGTAAGTTTTTTTTTGGTGAGGGGAGACAGAGTCTCACTCTATCACATTGGGTAGAGTGTATAGCACCAGAAACCTCATATTCTTGGGCTCAAGCACTCCTCTTGCCTCAGCCTCCTGAGTAGCTGGGACTATAAGTGTGTACCACAACATCCAGTTAGTTTTTCTATTTTTAGTAGAGATGAGTCTTGCTCTTGCTCAGGCTGGTCTTAAACTCCCCAGTTCAAGTGATCCACCTGCCTCAGCCTCCCAGAGTGCTAGGATTTCAGGCATGAGCCACCATGCCTATCCAACATTCTAAGTTATTAAGGCAATGATTATTTTAAATTTGAAATATCATTTCTCAATATTTTGAAACTCTTTGAATAGCTATAAATTTGGAGGGAAGAAACTTAACAAGTGTAATTTTTTACCTTTCTACTGTATTTTAATTTGATTCTGACTGATTTGCGTTTCTCTATTCATACACATTTGCATATAGGATAGAGACCTAGGAGATGAATATGGATGGAAGCAGGTGCATGGAGATGTATTTAGACCATCAAGCCACCCACTGATATTTTCTTCTCTTGTTGGTTCTGGATGCCAGATATTTGCTGTGTCTCTTATTGTTATTATTGTTGCAATGATAGAAGATTTATATACAGAGTAAGTACCTGTACTTCATTACTTTTTTGTTGTAATCATCAAAACCTTTTAAGTCACTCATAATTAAATATTTGCTTATTTCAGGTAACTTAGAATCTATGGTAAAAGCCATTAGTGCAGGCAAATTAAATAATAATAATCTTCACTGAAAGTATTTTTTCTGTTACATGCTAAAACTTACTAGTATTACTGAACATTTTTGTTGGTTATAAAGGTTATATTTTATTAGAGATAAGAGCAGAGGTTAAGTTGAATCCTGAGTTGTTTGACAAAGTGAATTGGCATTTTTTTAAAGTTAAAGATACAATAGGAGCTTCATAAAAAGTATAAGAATCTCCCAGTTACTATATTATTATTTCACATTTACCTCCAAAACTGGGAGACTTCTATAGGATAGATCATAAGGAATAGTAAAAAGACTGATGGGAAAGTCACATGAGGTTAGAAAAATAATTGAGTGGCTTTAAAAAGTCCTGGGTCAGATCAATATCTTACCTTTACCTGGCTTTTGGTACATTTTTCCTTGTCAAAAACCATTTGCAAGAAATTCTTGATTTGAGGTCTTTGAATTATAAGAAAAAGTTATACATTCACAGAAGATCTGAATTCCCTACGGAATGGTCCTATAATCTTGTCCTCAGAGAGCCACACCTCTATGAAGTAAAGCCACTCTGGTGCCTGAGTGGTAGTGATTGTAATCCAGGCATTCGAATGCTGCCCCATGAAGTCCTTAGTCAGAATGCTTTTCATTGGTAATATTTCATATCTCTACTTCAGTTAATGTATTCTTTCCTATATATCCTTCATATTGGGTTGATAAGCAATAAATTTTTGCTGAAAGAATAGTTCTTTTATTTTTTGAGACAGAGTCTCCCTCTGTCCTTGGTAGAGTGCTATGGTGTCACCGCTCACAGCAACCTCCAACTCTTGGGCTTAAGTGATTCTCTTGCCTCAGCCTCCCAAGTAGCTGGGACTACAGGACCCGCCACAACACCCAGCAATTTTTTGGTTGTAGTTGTCATTGTGTTTGGCAGGCCCAGGCTGTGTTTGAACCTGCTAGCTCCGGTGTATGTGGCTGGTGCTCTAGCCACTGAGCTACAGGCGCTGAGCTGAAAGAGTAGTTCTTTAGTCATATGGTAAATATTTGACTTTATACTAAATAGTTGTTTCCTCTGCCAAGTAAAAAGTTCGTTGAGAGTAGAGGCTAGGTCTTAACTTATCTTTACGTTTTGGAAGTACCTTCATAAAGAGTTTTGTACGTGGAAGGTACTCAGTCAGTGCTTGCTGAACTAAAGTGATTATGTATTAACTAACAAAGCTGTTTCTCTGTAGTTTCTGTCATTTGTTTCTGTGTAGTTTCTGAATTCTTTGCAATTCATCACCACATAGTTTTAAAATAATTAATCCAAACTTAAATTTCAGAGTTTTGAAGAGTAGTTTGTGAATTTTAGGGTGTAATATATTTTAGATAAACTGAATCCTACAAAAAAAAAAAAGACACCTTTCAAATATGCCAAGAAGTTGTGCCTTACTTTAAATACTGGATTAAATTCATAATCCAGGCACTGACAGTGACTATTCCATCACATTCTTCTGAGCTACAAGAGGGTAACCTCTCCTAGAATCCAAGTATTTGCTGTGTCCCTTTTGAAAACGTTAGTTTTAAAATTTGGTAACTCACTTTTTAGTAGAAGCTCCTCCTCTTAAAGACCTTTCCCTTTTAGGAATAAGAAGCAACTCTCTAATTCATGAGATTCGCAGGCTGGTAATACATTGTTATTTTTTAGCTTGTAAATGGTTGTTCTTTGTTGTGTTTATTTCAAGTGAACATGATTAGCTATAAGAACTAGAGCAGTAATTATTGTGAAATAGAAGGGGCTGATGTTATTGAGGTTTCACGTTAGGTGCTTTATGCACATTAGATCCTTTAATCTTCACATCAGTGCTTGATAGTGAAGGGACTAATTATTATTTCCATTCTTAAAGAGGAAAGTTAAAGCTCAGAGAGGTTAAGTAATTTGATTGAGATCACACAACTATTAGTAAAGGGTGTTAATAAACTGGGGATTGAACTTAGGCAGTCTTACTCCAGAACTCTTTTCTTAATTTGCTATGTGATGGAAATGAAAATACTGATAATAACAATACAAAATGGTGATAAAGTGAAAATTTGCATATAAAATTGGGATGAATCATTCTAGAATAGGAATAATTCTAAAGGATAAAGAGCAGATAATGTGACATGAAAACAAATCGCTTCTGGGTCATCATAACAATCAGAGAAGAAAAGTATTGGGAGTGTAGGTAGATTGACTGTCGATGTGGATGCCTGTGTATATGTGACGTGAATCCTTGAGAAGGCAAGGGCAGGCCTGGTAGCCCTGCTGCTGTTCTCTGAAACTTTGTTGGAGTGTGGTAAGGTAGTGGCAAGTGTAGGCAAAACAGCTCCTTGAATGTTTCCCCTTCTAGTTTTGGAGATGTGAATAAAGGAGGACAGGTAGGTCTTTCTTCAGCAGTTTTTTCAGTGTGGTTTAAAATGGATTACTTGGTGTGTGTGGGGGGGGGGAGTTTTATGAACAAAAAGGCAAAGGTTATATCTTACTTTTAGAGTTATGATGGATACTTACACTTTGATTTCGTGTCTCTGGGGTCTGCAGACTTATCAAGCTTAAATACCTGGTAGTCATTTTGGACTCTGAATGCCGTAGGCAACCTATTTGAATCCTTTCTTCTGATATTAGAAACTTTCGACTGCTATTAGACTGGTCTTAGACTGAAAGCTGCCTTTCTCTCTTTAGTCTAGGTCAGCCTTAACACCCATTATAACCAGAGAATGGGTCAAATTTGTTAATGACGGTCTAAAAGGAATAAATTAGTGCTTAATTAGGTTTTTGAAAAAACATTTGGTTTTTAAAACTGATTAACTTTGAGACGTATGATCTTTTAAATTTCGAAATGACAAATTCTCATGTTAGCTGTATATTGATAGAAATGAAATACTGTTGTGTTTTCACTGTTATGCATCCACTTTAAGAAAGTGAGCATAGGTATTTGAGCAGAGGAGTGTTACATATTTTAAGATTAGCAAGTTGAAATATATAGTGAGTTAAGTTCATTTTTATATGTAGCAAATCATACTGTCATTTATCATTTTAATCCTCTTTGCAATTAGCGATTTAAAAAATATTTTCTCCAGTTTTACTCCACAGAAGGGTTGATCTGAATTCCCTAAATATTCAGAGAATAGGTTAGGAATTGTTGATCTGAGTTAATGTTGACTTGTAGACTTACAGTTTTTTAAAAAATCATTTTTAACAGTACAAGGAAAAGTCTCAGTGTTACACCATTTAAAATAATAGCATTTAATATATTACACTATCATTTTATTTCTGTGAGCAGGGAAGAATCATAGGCAGTTGAATTAAGTTATGAAAAGGGCTCTCATTTTCCTTAGTAGACGAATATCCTGTTCGATATGGGATTGGTTTACAGGGTTGCCTAACAGTTTAGTGCCTGCTTTTAATACTTTTGCCAAAGAAATGTGAAGTACGTGTTTAGAATATATTATGAAATTTAACTGCAGGCTTAAAAACATCACGGTCAATTTGGTATTGTAAAAGTGCAGTTGTAAGTGGAAATTTCATTCACTAGAATATGTTTTGAGGTTTTTTCTTTTGTAGTTCAGTATTTTATATTTTTGTGTTTCTGTTAAATTTATCTTTGAAATTAAACTAATGCTAATGTGGTACACTATATGTTGGTTTCTCTAAATTGTTGGTTTTAATTCAACATCTGTGTTGTTTGCCTTTTTAGGAGGGGGTCAATGCTCAGTACAGCCATATTTGTCTATGCTGCTACATCTCCAGTGAATGGTTATTTTGGAGGAAGTCTGTATGCTAGACAAGGAGGTAACTTAGGAATTATCACTTGGTATTCTTAATTTTTGATGCTAATATTTTACTGTGAAGTATCTGGAATTCAAAATGAATAGTAAAGCCATTGTAAAATCCTTTGTTGTACTGCTTCACATTATTTCTAACAAACCCATTATGTATTCTATCTTGTTTTTTGGAATTCTTGCATTTTATTCTCTAAAATTATGAATAATTGATAGATTATTTCCATTGTTCACTATAAAATTAGCCCTGAAAAACATGTAGTGTAGGAGAGTACATTTAAGTTATCGGCACTGTTTGCTTTGAGGCACCTAGCTCTAAATATAATATGTGTGAGGCCTCCACACAGAGGATCGCTTTATAGATGAAATGTAAACGCACATTTATATGGTAAGGTTTCTGGACAGTGGAAGGAGAATAGGAAGGAGAGTTGTTCATATCTGTTGGTACTTAAATATTTATCAAAGGACCCTATGCAAAGATTTCTGTTACTTAGTGTCGCAATCTCTTGCCAAGAGCACTTCATCTTAAATAGCCCCTTACTTCTTTGCTCCTATGACCTAGAAATGACAGGAATAATACACGGATGATAGAAAGATACTGCTCCTTGGTGTGTCTTTCTGCTTTGACTTTCAGAGCTCCTTTATTTTCCTTGTAGTAGTCTTTGTTTTCGAATAGGGTTAGAAAAGTGTGATAGTAGATTTGCATATTTTAGTTTATGACTAGTTACTAAAAGAGCTTACAATTAATTTTTAAGGATAGAGTTGTGATTTTCACAGCCCATCCTGAGTAATGTCAGCATTAGGAGATCCTGCCTTCTTTTCAGTAGACTTAAAGAGATGGTTATAGGAAATCAGAGCATAAGATTATTTAAAATTTCTGGTTTACCATTGGTTTTTTTATTGGGCCTACTTAGTGTGGTCTGTACCTTCAATAAAGATAATTTTGATTGCCTGACAGAATTTCAATAAAGATAATTTTGATTGCCTGACAGAGTATCATTATAGATTTGTGACCATTTTAGTTAAGTGTTGAAGTCCTTACATCCTTCCTCCAAATGTGGGAAATGAGTCCTATCACAGAAGATTATATCTTAAGGAAGTAAGGATGCCTAAAGCAACTTCTACTTTGAATTCAATTTGGAAACTAGTTAGGCTAAAAATCTTAGTTTATGACTTCCCAAAAGTCTCCACAGCAGAAAAAGATGTTTTTTTTTTGTTTTTGAAACAGAGTCTCACTATGTCGCCTGTGGCATCACAGCTCACAGCAACCTCAAACTCTTGGGCTTAAGTGATTCCTTGCCTCATCTTCCCAAGTAGCTGGGACTACAGGCACCCAACAGATAATACCTGGCTATTTTTTGTTGTAGTTGTCATTGTTGTTTAGCTGGCCTGGGCTAGGTTCGAACCTGCCATCCTCAGTGCATGTGGCTGACGCCATAACCACTGTGCTACAGGTGCTGAGCCAGAAACAGATTTTTTTTAAACAGGAAATTTATTTATACTTGGACATAAGTTTACCTTTAGTCTGGTTGCAAGTTAAGAACACCCAGCCAGACTTTTCTTTACTATACTTATTTTTGAAGGCTGGCAGTTGAGGGCTAGGATTATGTTGTGATTCATAGTGTCCTGAGGAGGTCTGATAGTGTCCTGATATTTTGTCTGAACAATCTCTAAAAAACAGATTAATTTAGAGGTCTGTCCAGGGAATTAGGAATTTTTCATGTATCGCAGGGTTGGAACTACAGTGAAGCTCAAGGTCTTCACATTGTCCTTACTGCCCTGAACAATGCTGTAAGACCCAACTCGAAGCCAGTAGTAACGTGGAGCTTAACTAGAGTCTGCAAGAGTGGGGAGGTGGGGGCGGTAGAAAGCACAACTACAAAGATGCCTGGGCTACTACTTGTACCCAATGGAATGGGTGTGGGATTCTTTTGACTGTTGAAAGAAAAAGGAGAAAGAGAGTTGGATATGGAGTTTTATTAATACATGTGTGAATTTGAGAAGATAGTGGAAAGCGCAGGAAAAGAAAATTCTAGGCTGGGCGCCTATAGCTCAACCGGCTAAGGCGCCAGCCACGTACACCTAAGGTGGCGGGTTCGAATCCCCAGCCCGGACCCGCCAAACAACAATGACGGCTGCAACCAAAAAATAGCCGGGCGTTGTGGCGGGCGCCTGTGGTCCCAGCTACTTGGGAGGTGGAGGCAGGAGACTCGCTTGAGCCCAGGGGTTGGAGGTGGCTGTGAGCTGTAATGCCATGGCACTCTGCCCAGGGGGACAGCTTGAGGCTCTGTCTCAAAAAAAAAAAAAAAAGAAAAGAAAATTCTAGGAAGGTGTTGGGATTAAAGAAATACTTAATTTTAATTAATTGATGTTCTTTTTGTATTGTTTAGATGCTATGAATTAGTTGGAAAGGAAAGATTTTTAAAACTTGAAAAGGAGAGCGTTCAGAAGCAAAGGTGGGGAATGTTACAATTTGGAGTAGTAATTCTGTGAGGCAGATGTTTAAAAAGAACTTTATATAGAAGAAAACAACAGGCTATTGCTTGTCTTTCCTATAGCACTTCCTGTTTGATTCCCTGTTGCTAATGATTGTGGAATTGAATTTTAATAGTGATCCAATGTTAATTATTTACATTTCCTTCTTAAGCTGTATAAAGATACTGTCTGCCAGCTTGTATGCTCTGCTGTATTAGAAAGACAGCTCCTTGTTGCTTTCCTGGTCAATATGAGCATGATTTAATATTTTTGATTATATAGTTAAAAAATGTCTTTCCTTGATTATTTAAGCAATAAATACTTTGTAGAATTTTGGCAATACACAGAGGTACAAAGAAATAGTAAAACTTATAAGTCTATAGTTCTGAGTGCTGAGAGAAAACTCACGAAATACATTCTGTTGTTTCTTTACAAACACAGAAATACATTTAAATACATATTTATAATCACAATTACAAAACTACAAGTAAATATAGAGATTGTCTAATCTGAGAGTTTTTAGACCTTTTTTTTTAAAGCAGTGTAATTTCCTTTTCAAATGAAAGTTTACATGAAACTCTAGTGTATACAACTGTGGAAGATGGAATTGTTGTGGTTGATGCAAGGTTGGGGGCCTTGGGATTTTCATTCAGTAGTCTAGTAATAGTTTGAAAGTCCCTCTTTAGCCCAGAGAGATTGAATGACTTAACTGAAGTTCATAGCAGTTCAGTGGCAGAATCAAGACGAAATATGAGAATATTTTTCCAGGACACCTACTGCCAAAGCTGTGTTTCTATTATACGTACTTGAAGAACTGGACTGGTCTTTGTTAGCAATTTTGGGGAAATGATTATTAGGATGTTAAATTTCATGATCTCTATTTTAAAATCTTAAGTAAAGGGGGCATCCAGTGGTTAGGGCACCAGCTATGTGCACTGGGGCTGGTAGGTTCGAACCCAGCCTGGACTTGCTAAACAACAACAACCAAAATAGCTGGGCATTGTGGCAGGCGGCTATAGTCCCAGCTACTTGAGGCTGAGGCAAGAGAATCTCTTGAGCCCAAGAATTTTAGGTTGCTGTGAGCTATGAAGCCACAATACTCTACAGAGGGTGACAAAGTGAGACTCTGTCTCAATTAAAAAAAAAAAATCTTGGCTCGGCACCTATAGCTCAGCCGGCTAAGGCGCCAGCCACGTACACCTAAGGTGGCAGGTTTGAATCCCCAGCCCGGACCCGCTAAACAACAATGA